TTGGTCACCGGTCACCATGAGACTGCATCTCCTCAAGATGCCTTGTGGGTCAGACCTTTAGTTCCAAGGCTCGGGGTGTGGTCCCCTAAGAAAGCCACTTGCTTCGGTCTGGGAACCCGAGCAGTATCTCTCTCACACAAATCGGATGGTTTGTGTGGCGCATATGCATTTGGTGCCTCCTTGTACCAATGTTTATGTGTTTAAATAGATAAGCGAATTGCGGCACCGATGGTAACATAAGTTAGAATATTCAGACTCCTGGAATATTTAGAAAGATAATTTTGCTAACACAACGTCCGCCTAATTACCCTGTGGATTTTGTCATTTAAGTACCAGATCACCTAACTCAATAGGTGAGAGAACTCAGCTCACTAAGTGGTTGTAATGCTCTTGGTCCAAACTGTTGGATTCTGTCATTTTTCACGTAGTTACACAAATAATTCGAGAAGTTGACTATGAGGATTCGTTTTCTAGTTGTTAGGTCCTTGTCCGTTCCTTCTAAGGAAATGTAAGCCTATCCACGTGGCTCGGTAATCTAGTTGGTGACTGTCGGCTTGTGCTATTTATTCATGTATTTAGGGCTCTCAGCTACTATATACAAGGCAGAAAACCATTATCGCTTCCTACTTTAATCCTAAGCGCCAACTGAGATCTCATAGTTGCTACTCCGTCATGGTTTATTCAATTCATCTGCACTGTATAATGGTTAGCCTAAGTTCATTATGAAGACATTAGTTATGCAACAGTTTATGAATCTGTATTACATTAGGTTTATTGGTGTTCTGTTACGGATGCTGAGCTACGGCAGACTCGTTTGTTGTGTGTGACTAACTAAATATATGATATATTGTGTGACTGAGACAGCACATATCTATGGATCCTCAGGTTATTCATCTAATTTATGTCTAAGATGAAGTTTTGATTGCTAAGGCTGTGTAGTTAGCTCATAACTGATCACTTTTTGTTTACTTACTCATCCATTACCTGTTTAAAATCTTAGATACCTTATTTTATATATGTTTAACAACTACTGACTTACATTCTTTGTGTACATTTTTTTGTATTCAACTTAGTTTCAGTATAAATCTTTTAGTTAACGATGTCTCATGGTTCAGAATCGGTCATAACAGTAAAAATGCATTAATTCATTGTTGTTCCTGTCCTGGGTTGCATAATTTTCTATACCTTCCTGCTTGAATCCTATTTTGTGTCCCTTTTCTGTCACCACTAATTACTTCTACCTCTTCCAGTGCTTTGATATTCATGTTATTGGTTCCCTTCACAAAGAGTAAATCATTAACCTCCGACTGCCTTGCAGAAGGGAAGTAAACATGTTAACCTTTCTTCCTTTATGTAGTTGTAGCCACAATCTTTTCTTTCTGAACACCCCAGAATTTTCCGTTACAGCACTCTTGAATGTCTTAAAACAACCACTCCAAACAACCGTGGAAACTTTCAGAAGTTTGATTATTAATTCCTTTTAAATCTTACGCAATTTGGCTGTTTCTTATGCACAGTTCTTTTCGGCGAATTCGATATTTTGTCAGTAGTTAGGAATAACTAAACTTATCAGCCTCTATGGAGCTGAGAAGGCAAAAAATGGGATTGATTAGTCGTATTCTGTGGATATTGTCATTCTTACTTTGTTTAAACATATGTAGGTTGTTCACTAAAGGTATCTATCTCTAAAATTTAGTTCATTAAGTAAATACTATTTAAAGGACCAACCATACATACAAACAGATTACCAGATCATGAAATACTGCCAATGTAAAACCATTAGTATGGCGTAGAAAATATACAATTCTCTTTGCTATGTTTAGTCAGGCTACCGGGTACTAAGTTGGAGACTAGATTATATGATTTACTGCTGGTCTGATTAATGCATACCTACTCATCTTGCAGTTAGTATTACTCCATACGTTTATTCCTTTCTAGTTAGTCTCTGCTGTTGGTGCCCACTACTTTTACTTCATTCATTCTCAATTTTCAATACAATACAAAATATAATGAATTGAGGTAATATGCAGTTGTAACAGTTTCCACGTAAAATATGTGCTTGACATGAGAGGTTTATTCCTTTTAGTTATAGCCTACATAAACCAACTTTTAATCATTAATCCCCATCCTTTCATCACGTAACTCAACAACTAGGCTCAATAAGTCGAATGTGTTTACTCTTCGTCTTTCTTTGAATCATGTCTCTATACGATTCCTAGTATTCATTTCTGGTTTCATTTGTTACATTTATCCATATTTCCTAAGCTTAGCTCTTACCACCGTTCATGTTATTATCTCGACTACCGCTTTTCGTGTTGTTACTTTCCTCTTGTGAAGTGAGGTGGCGAAATTGAATCAATACACGTATGTATAAGGTCTTGTTCTTTATGACTGATAAAAAAGAATGAACAACCAGGTAGCTCAAAACCATAGTTAACTGGGTCGAATCATTAATATACTTACTTGATACGTATAAGGAGAAGGAACTAGTGCACCTCAAACGCTTAATCTACCTAATCTTCACCATTCGACCTCTATACAGTCTGATAATGTTCGTAAGCTGCACATTTAAAACGTAGCTCAAAGCCTTAAGCGTCTTTTAGGCATCAGCATCGCCACTGGTGTAATTTTTAAGCAAATACGAAAAGGTGACTTATATTTATGGTACAGGTAGTACGTTTGTGCGACACTTCACATCGTGGCTGATTGGTTGGGACAAAAGAACATTGCTAATTGTATTATTTCTCTGGTGTTAGAAACTCGGTTTCATAGAGACCGACCTCCAGCTACTCTTCATTTTTTTTCTATTCATTACTATGGGTTTCTAGAAATTGTTGGTTTTATGGATCGCATCTAAGAATGACCTTAATCAAGCATTTGTTGAAAGTCGGGAGGCACCAAGCAGCTATTTCTTACTGATAGGGGACTCCTCGACAATACACATTCACGACCTCACCGCTGTTCGGAAACTTAAGTTTCTACAACCTCCTCAGATTATTAATTTGTTCACAAGTGAATAATTCGGATGATTTCTCGAGTGCAATTGAGAAACTGTGACCGATATAGTTCAACCATGTCAGATATGAGGTAGTAAAAAATATTGACTTCCACAATCATCTGACGCCTAGATAGTTCAATAGAGTATTGAACCCTTAAGCTAAGCTAGTTCCAGTCCTACCAGTAGGTTCAACGTTCCGCATGTTTTTGAACGTAGGCATGTGCCAACGTTTGATGTTAACCTCAATTCCCGATCTAGGTGCGAGACCCAACTACGTCTGTCAGGGTCCTGTGTGACAATGCTTATCACCAAAAGATCTAAAAGGAAAATATGCTAAATTAATCGGACATCAGTGATTGTTAGGGCTCGTGACCAACTGTCGCCATATTTAGCTGCCGTAAGTTTGTCAGAGTTGCTCACTCTAGTCTCATTTAATCTGTAAAGAAAACTTCATAGGTGGTGCTTTCTTCGCCTGACTTTTCAGGGATTGATCTGTCAGGAGATTCACTTGTCGACTTTATGTATGTGGATGACAGTTCTGTTTGTTGGCCTCCAAAACCGTTTAGTAATAAAGTAAATGTTTGGAATGCGCTCCATTTCGTCACTCGTAGCGTAGGCGAAATGTCTGTCTGTCTAATAAACAGCGGGCATTCTTCGGCAATACGCTCTTTATTACTGAATAGTTGTTGGACATCGTCTTCGAAATTAGGAGAGCTGCGCCGGCCTCAGGTTTTTGATTATAAATATCTTCAGAGCATTTCTTGCGTATAGTGAAATATTCGATTAAGAGATAAGACTGATAATACTGGGGGTGGCCACAATTAAAGGTAGGACCAGTTCGCGAAATAACCGATTGTTAGGCCAAATCATGTTGATAGATGAAGAGTACTTAGTTGGGCTCCGCGAAATATGTGGCTGCGTGCGATAATTCGAAACCGGCCATAGCAACCTGAATGCATCCACCCTTGGTCGTAAACTTTGATATTATTTTAGATTTTTATTCCTCGAATTTGTCCCTTTCAGAACTGTTTTGGGATCATTATTCGCATTCAATATCGTTGACAACGCTATCATTTCGACTCACTTTTTATCTCGTAAATTTGATTTCTGCGCGTTGGTGTAGTATGGCAACTTGGGTTAACATATACTTGTGCCAGGCCATGCTGATTATGAATGACTGAACAGTTAAAATTGAATAGATCTAAAACAGGCAGGTCAATAGGTCACTGTGAACCCATCAGGAATATACGCAAGTTAAATCGTAGACAAACGAAGTCACGCATCAGTACCTAGCCCAATTGCGAACGTCGCTAACGCGTCGAAAACAAAATCTAGAACATTTGAGTACCCACCCTATCGTTATTTCGCCAAACACATCCGCGCTTCCTCCAGGTCCCATAAACGTAGAGCTTTATCAATAATATCAGGATGTAAATGTCAACTGGAGGACGGAGAAAACTATGATACATATAACACTAATGCTGAAAATACTCAAATGAAACAACTAAATGATACAATCAGATGAACAAATAAATAGGATAATACTAAGTCTAGTACCTTGGAAAGGCAGAGTGGTTCATTTTTACCATGGTGGTTTGAGACAAAATCTAATCTTTGGTCATCAGTTTGTACTTCATCATAAATTTTGAACAACAGCGAAAGCAACTCAGTTATTTTCATGACCATCCTGAACCTTTGATAACGCAAGTTTTGATTCAGTCGTTGACGAAATAAGTTATTGAAAATACTTAAAGAACGTCGGGTGTCTCTGTAATTACAAATTCACCGAGGTGCATAAGCTACATTATAAACGTTTCGGGAACTAAAATCGAGTGGATTGCGTTTATGTAATTTTAACAAGTCTCGCAACCGAATAATCGGGAGTAGTAGCACTCCAAAGAGACATCCCCGTATCTTGATACGCTGTTTGGAATGAAGCAATATTTTATGAAGTATAAAAAGTAACAGCAGCTAAGGATAAGTAAGATGTAAACATCGATGTAAAGCGACAAGAAAACAATATATTTTATCGAATTTCTCTGGAATTACTTAGCCTGGGGAAACATAGAAGGACACATGTACAATAATCTAGGCATAGGACTTTCGTAATTCATACAATGAGAATTGTTTACTTCATAAACTTTACCGTACAGATCAGATATTAGAACATCACATATAAGCGAACAATTGTTTTCAATTAGATCGTCATCAGGCTTTACTCTAATATACATGAATATTTATACGAAAACTTTTAAACCAATCAAGGCAATATGAGTCAATAATCACAATGAAATAGAATAAGTCACTACACATAATACGTAAAAGTACAAGTTGTTAGTAGGAAGACAGGTGAACTGATAATAGTGAGAATAATAAAATACAATAACAAAACTCTTATCAATAGTTAATCGTTGGAAATAGAAGGTCAAATAAACATGGGTAAATAGACTAGGAATAGTAACCACAAAACATTAGAATCATTACGTAATAAGATGTGTGTAAATAATTAGATAGTGAAGAATAAAAAGAGGCGGAAAATTACAAACAAATAATGGATGTGGAAATAAGGTTAACGATAACACAAATAGAATAAAATAATGATAATAATAAAATTAAAAAAGTTGTTAGTTAAGTTATAACTGGCCATGGAAGGGATAGGGGGGTCACGTATTTCTTCAGCACACATAAACTGGGGTTATATGTACGAATTCCAATGGCTTCAGCTATATATAGGAGACGGGAACGGACTCCGTCGGGAAATGATGGAGGTATACGATAGATAATTCGAAATGATTTCGATTTGTCTACTGCATGACCGCTATCAATAAGATGTGCCAATATAGAACCGCGAATAGATTTTCTCTGGCCCTTTATGTACCAAATTGGTAGATGTTCACTCATTCGTTGGTTAAGTTGCCTGGTAGTACGCCCTATATAGCTATCTCCACAGGAACAGCTGAATTTGTAAATGCACATAGAAGAGGCCAACTCAGGTAACTTATCCTTCGTTTGAGTAGACATCGCTGGTCGACAAGAGAAGGTCAACGCAAAATTGGCAGCGTAGAATGTCCTGGTGATTACTTTGGTTAACCTATATTTCAGTGTCACTAGCCACATCCCCGTTGAATTGCACTTTCATGTATAAAGGTTTCTTACGAACAGTCGAAATCTCCGACTTTTCCGTATAAATATTCATGTATATTAGAGTAAAGCCTGATGACGATCTAATTGAAAACAATTGTTCGCTTATGTGTTGTTCTAATTTTCACAATGGGAATCTTTAATATTCTAAGATCAGATATTAACATTAATGGGATGTTTCGTGACTCGGAAAACAATAAAACTCCATACGAAACGTGGTATTAACGGAGAAATCCATGTTTTAAAACATGACTTTTTGAGATATGACATTAGGAGTGACGCAAGTGATTAATCTATCTGAGTAGGAATGTATGGGTTAATATGCTAGACGTTAGTTAAGTCACATTGTATTGAGGCCGGTGATACTACTGCCTACACACCTGAGGTAAATACATTAAGGTTCAAGCTTAGAACCTAATGATTGGAAGTCGAGTACTTCAACCATCAGGTCACCGTGTATAAAGCTACGAATACCAGAAGTATGGAGAGAACCAATGTCAAATAAATCACCAAGTTAATGAGGCTAGAAGGTTAGATTTCAGCTATTGTAGAGATCCTCAAAGGTATCAATAGTTGTCTGAGTGTTCCAAGCGACCCTACATTCCGGAAACAGGAAGCCTCTAAGAGTGAGAGTTCAGTTCCTGAAAATGAGTACCGTCCGCACAGCTATCAAGAAAGATGGAGGAACTGGTCAATGCTATTTGAAGTAGCCATTTTGGACGGTAATTTCCATAAACTCAGACCCAACCTGTTATGTTAGCAAAAAAACCTTCGATAAACTGATGTGTTGCTTCGGTATGATATTGCTACTACAAAATCTATAAATCTGGATGTTATGCCCTGATAAGCATGAATGTTCACACACCCTAATTCTGAGATCACGATTGCTCCTCCCTTGGATGTGAATGCAAGAAACTTCACTCTTTCAGCCTATCCATTCAAATCAGTGGTAAATACACCTACCTACACAGGTATTAACACATACTATAAATGAAAGTGCTCGTTTGCTAGTTATGTACTCTCCATCCAATTGTTTGACGCGATAATTACATGCAAATCCAGCTTTGTCTGCATGGGTTTAACTTTACCGCTTACCCACATTAGGCTAAATACATGCACGCCGTCCAAGTCAACGTGGAGTCCTTCAGTCACCTTATTACGTCATATATTGACCACTGTGGTGTTTTGGACATATCAGCCAAAATACCTTTTGGATTTGGTGAATGCTACAACCATTTAGCGAGGTCCTTAGTTCGTTTATGTGAAGAACTAGTCTCAGACCTAGACTTCAGAGATCTCACTGAGTATTTCACAAATGTTGATGTAATATCATCCATTAGGTGTATGTTTGCCTGACCGTTGTTGTTACTTTGACGTGGTGGTCGGGCTTGCCTGTCGCGAGGAAGCAACCGAGCTATACTGGCTGGAATAACCGTTCCTCAAGGTCCTACCATGTCAGACAGGTCGGTTGAAGAGCGGTAAGATTAAAAGCAACAAACCCAAGGTCCGAAGGCGAGGTCGTACTGCTGACTGTACAGAGGTGTGACAGCAGTAAGGTGTTTCCTTCAGACAACCAGCATGGCAGCGATGCTGCCTTCCCACAAGGAGGGGTGGGGTTAGAAAAGGTCGACCCTAAAAATGCACACCTCACCTTATCCCACGGATATCCGTCTCCGGCGGTAAAGTCTCAACGAGTACGGAGCTAACACAAAAATTACCCATAAAAAGGTCGTGTGTGACCGACCTCAAGCAGTTGTCCCTTGGGCACTGCGGTCACGCTCCCTGGTCACTAAGACCACCTATAATCCAATTTCCTTTTCAGATACCTCCAGAAGAACCCTTCCACGGTGTGGGCAACCGGGAAGTGATATCAGCCCTCATACCTCTAACAGCACTCAGGACCACTGGATTCATAATCAACCTCCCTCTTCAATTCCTATTATTCCTCCTACATCGACTTTCACCTTTAAACGTCCTCTTTCGACTTCTCCCTCAAGTGTTACCATAGCCGAGTCTAGTGCTCAAAACACTGTCCCAGGTCTAATGAAACCTCGCTCCACACTACACATTGCAGCCTTCAATGTACGCACCTTATGTCAAATCGGTCAACAGGCTTCCTTGGCTAGAACCCTAGAATCTCGTACCATTGATGTATGTTGTGTCTCTGAAACACGCATACAGGATTTCAGTGTGGTCATTCACTTGACCTAACCTCGGCAAAACGGAGAGCCAACGAGATACACCCTCCGTGTATCCGGTGACCCGACGGCCAGCTCTCGTGGACTGGCAGGAGTAGGGACAGCACTAAGCATGAGGGCGGAACAAGCACTGTTAGAGTGGATCCGTGTTAACAGTCGTTTATGTGCAGTTCGGCTAAACGGCGACGTAAGAACTCGGAAGGATAGGGACACACGTCGTTGCCTTTTTGTCGTTTCTGCCTACGCTCCCACCGACTGCAGCTCAGATGCGTCTAACCTCACTGTTACTTACCCGGTGATTCTAGCAGATGCGAGCAAATGTTAGTAGCTTACGGCTATTTTCTACTCTTAATGATCACGTTTCGCAGCCGTAAAGTAGGACAGAACGAACGGCCGCGCAGTATACTCGTCTCTTAATAGACAGACGGATATCTTGCCTTCGCCATGGGTGACGTAAGTTGGCAAAAGCTAAACAAACTTTTTGAATATGTGCAGAGATTTCGTCAGACACCAACCCATTAGGGCTGATCAGACTTCCAAGATGAGTGAAGTTGTCAGCGCATCCGACTACTTCACTCCCTATCCTTAGTTCAGGTGTTGATGTAGGCCAGTCCTGGAGTAACAATTTACATTTAGAGAGGGAGAAACACCTTTACGGGACTCAAGACCGTTTACTAAAACAGAAATTTTAAAATCACTGTCAAGAAAGTTAAGATAAGTGCAACACATGAGACACCAAAGTCATTCACTGGAAAGTTTACCTAACAAAAACTCGTCCCATCAACACACAAGAGCGACTACAAAACAAATCCCAATTTGCTGACTGACAAGGAATTAACATTTCGGCAGTAAACTTGTGATTTTCGAGGCATACAAAATACATGAGCATACATATATGGGATCACATGCATACTTTGTAAAGTAACATTACACTGAATTATCGAATGTCTAAACAAGCCAAACTCGAGTGAATGAAAGAATATTTCTAGAATAATCTAAGCATGAAATGTATTTAAGTACATTCAACTATCTACCGGGACTCAGTTTTCTAAAATATACTGCAGTGCTTTAGGGTCAGGATTCAAGAATTTTAGACCTTCTTCAGAGTTGGAAATTTTCGGAAGTTTATACTTATTGATGTCAGAGACATAGAATGCCTAAAACATTAGGAAACAAAATTAATCTTACTGCGGCGAACAAAACAGTAGCGATTGTGGCGCTAATTATAAAGTATGTATTATAAAGTCTATTCTGCTGTTTGTGCATTTCAGCCCAACTTCCTTGAGGAATTTGGAGTTCATCATAAGTCCCCGCTGGAAAACGCATGGGCACATGGTTCCTTATATGATTTACCCGGCCAATGCCTGTTAAAACATCACTAATTAATTTGAAAACCCACTCAGCAGCTTATTGGGTGTCGCTACGACAAGACGATTGATCATTTTAGGTTTAAAACACCGCCAAAGCTGTACGACTTCCAATGTCATCAGGACATGACGATCACTTGATATATTTATGCTCACTTATTACTGCTTCAACAGAGACTCAGGTGCTTGGTGGTTTCCATCGGGGTGCAATGTTTCGAGCTCCAAAACAAACGCGCGCTATCTAAAAGGACAATGGTATTGTTTCTTGTTGAGTTAGTCAACTGTTTTGATCGTAAATTACTCATCAGAAACACGATTTACACTTTAATTGAATCTACTCCAGTCAAAGTGACATTGTATTGAGTGTTTTTTGCCTTTGTGTATTCATTACATCTGAAGCATTCTTGGTCTGTATCAAAGTACTTTAGTTAAGGTTTAAAATCTTGCTAGAGTTTGTCTTGTGGTAATCATTTATTCGTTGACTGACACTTGTGTTCATGCTGTGATCATATTGTGATTTACACCTTGATCTGACTAAAATGGCTGGTAGTACTCACAAATGTGGACAACCAAACTGTTTGTTCCCTGTGGAGGATGGAATGCATTGTGATGAATGCAATAAGTGGTTCCATAAGATGTGCACTCGTTTAAGTCCCACCGTATACAAAAGATATTCGAAGCCTAGCTCACATTGGCTTTGCATGTGTTTTCTCTGAAAATAAGGCATTACTAATACAGGAGGCTATGAGCCTATTGGCTTTGGCCTGTAAGAAGAACGATGGCATATGCACTGACAACACGGGCACTGACAGTGACGAATGTGTCAGTGTACTACCTGCTGTTACGTGACGCCTCAGACAACCGACCCTGACCGATGTAAAAGAGAAATCTCCGTTAACATTAACAAGAGGAGTAGTACCACCTGGTATTGACATTGGTAACAATGCACCTTTAGTGGGAACCGACGAACTGGATAAAACCGTCACCGTTCCAAATAGTCCCAGTGTCCTGAGGGATGAAAAATGGACTACGATACGTAGGAAACGAAAGGAAAGGAAAAAAGGTGTAGGCAGCACATAGGTAGTTAGTAACTCACTGGTGGACTCCCATTGTGGGTCACAAACTGCACTACCAAAATCTGATGGTAAGAGTGAAACCCATCCTGGTGTGACTGAGAAGAAAAATCAAATAACATCTAATATTATTGTGAGCAAATCGCGGGAGTCGAACGACCCTGATCCCAAAATTAGACACGTGCTTGATTTAGAAAAGCTAGGAGAATATATTCGTAGTATTTTACCAGATAATTCTAAAAGAGTTCATGTCAAAAAATTGGTTAGAATAGTCAAGAGAACTGAGGACAGTATTGAACCCCGACCATTCAGACTCCTTAAGGTAACCCTAGAATCGGAGAAGCAGCGGGATCTCCTGTTAAGTAGCGCTCGTTGTCACGACAATTCCGACGTCCAAGTTGGACTTGACATGTCTCCGGAAGATAGAATACAAAGGAAGAAAGCACAAGCTGAACTTGAAACCCGTCGGCATAACGGTGAGGGAAATTTCCGGCTAGTGGGTTTTCGGATATTCAGGTCTTGGAAGCGAATGCTATCAAGGCCTGTGTGGATAGGTCGTTCTACCTAGGAGTTTTATATGCTAACGCTCGTAGTCTAGGGAATAAGTTCTATGAACTAGAAGCACTATTGGACAGGTTGAAGCCACTCATTGTAGCAGTGACAGAAACTTGATTAGTCCATGATTTAGACATCACTCCTGAATGATCCTTTTACCAGTACCTCGTGAGTGATAGGCATAGATGTAGAAAAAGAGGTGGCGTCCTGTTATATATAGACAATAGCATAAATATCCGCTCATCTGCTAGTGAATCCCATGATAGCTGTACTTGTGAAGTCATTAGCTTTAAGTTGGCTGTCGGTTGTACTACATTTATGCTCAGTGTCATCTATCGCAGCCCAATCTGCTTAGCTGATGACTTTATTTTAGAGCACATTCATTTTTGAATGCAAATAACAGTTGCATGATAATAGGAGACTTTAATGCAACTGATATTAGTTGGACTGAGATGACTACGGAAGGATCTATAAACTTCTTTGATAGTAGGTTCCTGATAACAATAATGAGGCATGCATTAGTGCAGTATGTACCCGAACTCACACGTTTTGGCGCTAACCAAGGTACTTCTCTGTTGGACTTGGTAATCACTCATGAGACTGAGGATATTGTCGACCTAAATATTCTTCCACCGTTAGTGAATAGCGATCACGATGTTTTGTCATTCGCGTTTAGAACTATGGACATGTTATACGACCAGGTTACACCTCGCCCAAATGTATGGTAAGCTAACATATCAGCCATTCAGGAATGCGCTGCTGAGACAGATTGGTTTTGTAGATACTAGATTATCAGTTGAAGAGGCATGGTCTGTATTTAAAGGTAAGTTTATTTTAGTTACGTCCCCGTTCATACCATACCTCGTGCCACGAAGACCGACTAACAGTCCACCATGGATAACTAAACCAGTAAGGAAACTTCTCAGGAAAAGGAAGAAGCACTGGAATATGATCATCTCTACTGGCTTAGAACAATACAGATCCAGTTATTGTAAGATGAAGAATGCCTGTAAAGAGTTAATAAGTAAGACTAGACTATCGTATGAAAAACAATTGGTTAGGGATTCTAGATGTAGTCCGAAACGGTTATTCTCGTATATAAAAAGGAGAACTCAAAGAAGCGATGGAATTCCATCACTTTTGATACAAGAAAATCCGTTAATCTTGGCCAAAAATGATACCGAAAAGACTGAAGCTTAGTAAAGTATTTTCTATCGGTAATGAGGAACGACCAACGATTCATCGTGACCGTGACGGCTTGCTGATGTACCATGTAGTCATTGAGAAAAATACTGTTTTAAGGCTACTTCAGCATCTAAAACTTGATAAATCCAGTGGTCCTGATGATATTCATCCTAGGATTATGAAAGCCATATCAGATGAAACTGCTGGACCATTAACGATACTATTTGACATGTCTCTGAAACAGTCCAGACTGCCTGGAGACTGGAAAGACGCTATAATAAGTCCAGTATATAAGGCTGGGAGTAGGGATTTAGTTAGTAACTATTGCCCCATTAGCTTAACTAGTGCAGTTGTAAAACTGATGGAGAAAATCATTCGGATATCTGTTATAAATTATGTTGAAGGGCATAATCTTTTCTCTAGGTAGCGACATGGTTTTCTGAAAGGCCTATCTTGCCTGACAAATCTTCTCATTGCAAGAGAAGATTGGGCTGCTGCAAAAGATCGGAATATTTCTGTGGATGTGATCTTCATAGATCTAAGTAAAGCCTTCGATAAGGTTTCCCACTCTGGTCTTAAATTCAAACTAGAATGTTTTGGAATCCATTATACAGTCGCAGATTGGACAAGTAACTTTCTCCGTGACAGGAGACAAAGGGTAAGGGTAAATGGGGCACTCTCCTCGTGGGGACCTGTAAAATGTGGGGTTCCCCAAGGTACAATCCTTTTCACTTTATGTAAATGAATTGCCAACTGTAGCAAAATCATCCGTCCTACTCTTCGCTGATGACATAAAGATTTGAAGACTCATACATATTATGTTAGATAGAATGGTATTACAGGATGACCTAGCTCATTGGTGGCATGGTTAGACAGGTGGTCATTAGAAGTAAATCCTAATAAGAGTGTAGTGATGCAGTTAAATAACTCTGTCAAATCGTATCACTATACACCACGTGGATTTGTGCTACCCAAAGTAGGAAAGTATAAAGATTTAGGAGTCATATTAAGCAATGATCTCAAAACCACTAGTCACTGTAAGGCTGCTGCTGCAAAAAGCTATAGGGTATTATGGTCAATTTGTAGGTCTTTCCAGTATTTAGATGATGAAATGTTTAGATTACTATACCCGATTTATGTGCGACCACATTTAGAATACGGGATTCAAGCAGCGTGTCCTTGTTTCAAATATGAAGCAGATATGCTAGAAAGAGTCCAACGACGAGCTACAAGGTCTATCTGGCCTATCTTATGAAGACAGACTGAGACACCTTAAATTATTTCCGTTATCTTACCGTCGAATACAGGGTGATCTAATATTGGTTTATTGTATACTGAACGATGACCTTGGTATTAACATGTCTTATCTCTTGCTTCCGTATAGGACCGATCATTTGAGAGGACATCCCAAGAAAGTTCAACAACCGAGATCAAATCGTTTACGTCTGGAGTTCCGTTTCTCTAACCGAGTAGTGAATTACTGGAATTCTCTACCGGAACACGTGATATCATCACCTTCTGTTGATATATTCAAAACGAGATTGGACCTACACAGTATTACAAACTGCAAGGATTAATATAAGTCCATAGACCTCCTATCCTTATTACTGAAGACTGAAGACCGTCACGAAAAACGTTTCGGGAAACTTCCCAGTCGGCACGTGTTATCAGCAACCGTAGCCGGCGAACACATTTGTTTGTTATACTTCACTAATGTGATTACGAAGGTTCGCTTCCTCTTCGAAACTAGAGTCTAATTTATGGTTCTTCCTGCAAATTCTAACGATCGACTGCACGAACCAGTCTTAAACTTACTGGCGGCAAACTGAAAACATATCGTCACATATGGTATGTGGAAAATCTATCTTAACGTAGGTTTACTGGTAGGTTTATTGGTACAGACCTGCTACAACATTAAAATTTACTCATCGACACGCGCAAACGCAGGTTAGTAGACGGAAATACTCATTTATCTGTATGTGTAACTATTTCAGTTTTTAGATTATCCCCGCGCACAGTAAAGCACACGATCGATCCATACTATCCACAAGTACTCAATAGTTACCCTGAGGTATACCTAACTCAGCCGAAGTTGCCATGTGTAACCAGCAATGTTACATATCACACCACGACTACAGGACCACCGGTATTTTTGACTAGCTCATGAAAAGCCGAGATTGGATAACAATGAATTCGATCACATCATAGATTTAGGAATCATTCGGGCATCTCCCTTGCATGGGGTCCCCATAAACAACAGCAACGACTGCGTCCGACTGGTG